AGAGAGAGAGAGAGAGGCAGAGAGAGACAGAGACAGACAGAGACAGAGACAGACAGAGAGAGAAAAAGAGAGAGAGAGAAGAGAAATGTACCCATTACCTAACTTATGGCATTGTGACCCCTTTGAACAATACCTTAAATGGTAACAAACAATATTAAGTAATTTTTTTTTTGAATTGCTGGGTGCTGGTGGTTTGTCCCTGTAATGTGAGCTACTCAGTAGACTGAGATCTGGAAGACCAGGGTTTGATTATCTCCAGAGAAGCAATGATTGCAGACCTCACACAGTCTGGTTTTCCTCCCCTTTCAGGAAGCCGACACAGATGAGAACCAGGGCACGCTGACCTTTGAAGAGTTCTGTGTGTTTTACAAAATGATGTCCTTGAGAAGAGATCTCTATCTGTTACTCTTGAGCTACAGTGACAAGAAAGACCACCTGACGGTGGACGAGCTGGCTCAGTTTTTGAAGGTGGAACAAAAGGTATCATTAGATTGCCAAACTGGGTTCTTTAAAATACTGCAGAGAGGGCTGGAGGTGTGGTTCAAGCAGTAGAGCACTGGCACAGCAAGTACAGAGCCTTGAGTTCAAACCCTAGTACCACTCTCATCATTAACACCACCAATACCAACCACAAAAATACTGCCAAGAAATACACAGTAACTTTCAGAGACAGATGTGGGTGTAGTTGAAGCCTAGAATAAAGGGTAAATACCATAGGTCCATAAAAATCTTACCTGAGAATCATGTAAAATATGTTTCTAGGAAGGGGAAGTGATTATTTGCACACTGGCTTATTCCTTTTCTCCTGAGTGTACATGTACATATTCCCCACCCCCCAAAAAAGAATGTTAACTAATGTATTCTATTTTTGATATATCGGCAATGATCTCCTTACACTAATAGTGTGAAGTATTAGAAATAGATATAAATGATCAGGAGGCCAGTGTTTGAACACGTCCATCTTTTATTTTAATTTAATTTTATGTATTATCATTAGTGCAAGTACATTGGGGGTTTGAACTCAGGGTCATAGGCTCTTGCTTGGCTTTCTTGCTCAAGGCTGGTGCTTTACCACTTAAGCCATAGCTCTGCTTCTGGCTTTTTGGTGGGCTGGCTTGAAGCCACAATCCTGAGATCCCAGCCTCCTGAGTAGCTAAGATGACAGGCGGGAGCCACCGGTATCCCAGCTGGACTTTTGTCATGGACAGAGGAAGAAGGGAGAAAGGCAAGAGGTGGAGCACCACAGAGCTGGAAAAACCTCACTGTTAAACAAGGCCCTGTCTGGTTCCCATGAAACGCACACATCAAGGGCACTGCTAGGGGGATTTTCAAAGCTTTTCTATTCCCGGGCCAACAGGGTCCTCTCCTGACCGTAACTTACCTGACATAGATCCATCTTGTTGTGCAATGTCGCCCCATTAGCTTCTTTATTCTTCTAGCGAAAGTTTCCCGATACTGTCTGTTACAACTACATGTGTCATCTCTGTCCTGTCCCTCCATGGAATTGGAGTGCTTCCTTAAGAATCACTGTCATTCTAATCTTCTTGCACTTGTGAGAAATAATTATAAGCTCTTTGCTGTAAATACCCTCTTTTGGTGCTAGCGTACGTTTATCTTTTTCACTTTTCCTCATGATAGATGAGTTCCTTTAAGATCCTTCCCCCAGTGTCTATCGAATTGTTGTCTTAGTCACAATTAAAGCCTTGAGAGAGCTTTCAGCATAATTACATATTATACTCCTTCTGCTGCCTCAAATATATTTCCCAAAGGACATTTAGTCTGAAAGCTTCCTCTGTCCAAATGTGAAATTAGTGGTCGAGTGTTAGGATGCATTGGGTGCTGGTTTGGGGATGCACACCGTGCTCATGGTGGCCTTCCTCCCTGCAAGTGGAATGATTTTTTTCATCCAGAAACCATCCAAAAATACAGGAGGGATGCTTTCCCCACTGTGTAAGACAATAGAGGCAGAGAGAGGAGCAGCAATGTCCCGCAACTTGTCTGACCTAAAGTTAGACCCCGGAACACTGAGATTTAAGCCCAGGCAAGGAGAGGCCCCAGAACCACCCACTGTCTGGAGGAGCCACAGACGGCTCCCGGAGTGAGGTGAACAGGTTTCATAAGGCAGGAAACCCGTGTAGTGGTTGGAGGTTGGCGGGCTTCTGTCCCCAGGGTACAGAAGAGCTGCTCTCCCTCCTCCACCCTGGTATAAAACTGAGAGCATGTGCTAGAGGTAGATGGACCAGAAAGATCCAGACTAAAATACCTCCTCAGGGTGGGGGCGGGGGTGGGGAAGGGTGCTGGGTGAGCTCTGAACTCGTGGTGAAGATGGCTCCAAGAACTCTGGGATTTGTGTCTGTGGCTTTTTGCAATGTGACTTTGCAAGGTGGTTCTGGAGGCTGGGCTGGCTTAGAAACTGCAGCACAGGTGATGTGTAGGTTCTGGGGCTTCAGCCAGGGAGCCTTGAGGAGTCTACATTCACCATGTCAGAAGTGTAGGAAATCAGGCTAGCCTTGCTGAGACCACACAGTAACGTGGCAGCCCAGCCAGCACCCAGTGGACAGCAGTGAGGCCGTGCAGGACCATCTGGCGGAGGTCCCCTGACAGCTGCCCGTGGCCCCATGAATAACCTTAGGTTGGAATGGCCGGGGAACTGTCCAGGGCAGCCAAGCACTTGCTATTTTGGTCAAGTGCACAGTTGTGTATATATCTAGATCTGAGGTTTTTTTTTTCCTCCACAGAAACTGAGAAGGAAAGCAAAAATCAAATGAACACCTGTCCACAGAGAACTGTAGCCCTTGCCCTGAGTTCGGAAAGAATAAAGTTCCATTGTTTTAAGCCACCATTTGTTGGTAACCCGTCTTCAGCACATGGAGATCTAGCAGTGATGTCAGCCCAAGCCCCACGTTTCTCCTCAGCAGGTTAAAAATCGGAGAAAGGTCCTCTGGGAACTATGTCCTGCTGTAGTGATTGAATAGGGACCCCAGGTATGCCCAGGCAAACCCCCAGATCCTGTGAACCTTTGTGCCAAATATTTACATGTTCATAGATGTGATTAGGTTGAGATATCATCTTCCATTCATAGTAAGCCCTACATCCAGTGGTAGAAGAGAAGAGATAGAAGAGAGAGGAATGAGGAAATAAACACACATAGCGAGATCTTGTGAAGATAAAGTATGAATCCTTGAGTTCAAATCCCACTATCACCAAAAGCTGGATGAGTAGGTAGATAACATATTGCATTTAAAAGGGCTATTAGAAAGACTGCTTAAGGGCTGGGAAGGTGGCTCAGTGGTAGAGCACTTGCCTTGCATGCCTGAGGCCCTGGGTTTGATTCCTCAGCACCACATAAGCAAAAAGAGAAAAGCTGGAAGTGGTGCTTTGGCTCAAGTGGTAGAGCGCTAGCCTTGAGCTAAAGAGCTGAGGGACAGCGAGCGCCCAGGCCCCACAAATGGACCCCCCCAAAAAAAAGACTGCTTAATATTATATACGGAAAACCTTGATTTCACATTAACGGTATATAAATGGAAAAGCCATTATTACAGTATGTCAAATTTGAACTAGTAAGTAATCTTCTGCTCACCCACTCCCTCCAGGGGTGTTTAGAGATTCTTTAGATCTCAAGGGCTGAGTCCGGTTCTTGTCCCCAAATCTGTGCACCAATGGCCTTCAGCACTGAATATTGCAAGGCGAACTCAGTCTTCCATGGCATGCGAACAGTGATGTATCTTTAAGAGCACATGTGCAAACAGATCTCTCTGGAATGCAGCAGACAGGCTATGGGGCTGCTGGGAGCCGGTGCTGCCCAGTCAGTAGAGTGCCTGGGGGGTTCTGGGGTCTCATTGATCTACAGTGTTCCCAGTCAGTGGCTGGTACATAGGAAAGACGAGAAACCCCTGAGGGGGGGGATAGGGGAAGGGTATCAACAATGGTGTACCTGGCTTGGAAAAGAAGCACTCTATACAGCAGCTTCAGCTTCATTTCATTGCAGAAAAAAAGAAAAGGACATGTTGTTAAATGGACTGTTTAGGAAACAAAAACAGATGTCACTAAAACACCAGTCTTGAACCTGAGCAATAGTGAAAGCTTTGAGGAGTATAATTGAAATATGAAATAGCATTCTCCCTATTGTCATTCATTCGTGATTTTAAATGTCAGTGTTAGATTGTGAGGCTGAATTGATTCGGAACCGAAATATCAGCTGTTTCATTTCCTCTCTGGGGTTCAGATCCAGAGATTCATGGCTGTCAGAGGCTGAGAAGCGGATACTTCAGCCGGTGTGGGTACTGGATGGTATGAACACAAGCAGTCCCTGGCTTTTTGTCTACTGTTGTTTTTTTGCTAGCTGTTGTGCTCCTGAGTCCCAGAGCTGAACTGCTCTGTGGAGGGTCCCATCGAAGCACACCTGGTATGGGGCATTTACCTGCAGGCACCAAAGAGTTTCACTTGTACAACAGCGAGCCTTTCGCATGGACCGATGGCTAGCCACCTGTTGTTTTATGGAAGGGATATTTTATTCTGCAGATAGTTTCTATGCAGTGAGTGGATTTAGAGCAATGGATTTTTCATTGATCCCTGGTTTTATTTTGTTATTCTGGGCAGACCATTTTGTGCCATCACTGAAGGAGGTGTTCTCTGATGGGGAAAGATGAGTAGGGGGCGGGGTTAAGATTCACCTCTCTCTCTACAGGTATATGTGGAATTGTGTGTGGCACTGATCCCTCCACACTTTGAACCACCTCAAGAGTGTCTCACTTCCTGTGTGGAGAAGTGTATCTCACTAGGTTGTATGCACTCTATTAATGTCCTCTTTTGCCTAGATGAGCAATGTGACGGTGGACTATTGTCTTGACATCATCAAGAAATTCGAAGTTTCAGAAGAAAATAAGGTGAAGAATGTTCTTGGCATAGAAGGTAAAATAACCACAGGCTTTCACATCCCTTTCCTTGATTCAGTTGGCTAAATTAAATTCCAGCAAAATCAAGAGATAGTCGTGGAATTTGAGATAATTCTAATAAAGCCAAAATAAGTTATATTTTCCTACAAAGGAAATGCCATGATTTTTCTCTTACTTTTATTTATTTGTTTGTTTATTACTTATTTTTGTGCCGGTACTAGGGCTTGACTCAGATACTTGAAGTCTTTGCTTTGCTCTTGTCTGGTGCTCAACCACTTGAGCCTCACCCCCAGTGTCACTTTTGCCTCTTGTTTTTGCCATACTCAGGTGTTACTGCAATGTAGATTCCAAGAAGTGTTGGGCTTTTCTCACATGGAAAGAGCTCATCCTGGTGCTTTAGGAGAGGAGATTTGGTCCTAGACTCAGTAACCTAGGAATCTTCTGGCTTGAAATAGACATATTTCTTTACCAAATGAGAGTGACTGTCTTGGTTTTTCCTGATAGGTAGCATTATAGAAGCTGTTAGAACCACAAATCTCATTACTATAGTTACCTTGAGGCAATGGGACCCTAAGAAATTAAGTAACCTACCCACACTGAAACGCACTCAGAAGCTAGCTCTTAGCACCTTATACATAAGTAAAATTGTATAAATACAGCCTCATATTTGTTTAAAACTATGCATTTAAAAGAGGCAGAGAAATTAATTGTAGGGAATAAACCACGAGGAAGAGATGGTATCCATCAGGGACTACAGTGCCCCAGATGTCTGGAATATCTCCCAAGGCTGGAGCTGGGCTTCTCTCATTGGATGGTTGGTCTCCTGTCTTCCAGTGCTCCCAGTGACTGTGGGAAAAAGGTGTTGACTCTGTGTGTGTGTGTAGGGAGGGGGGTTGTGGGGCTTGAACTGTGGGCCTGGGCATTATCTCTCAGCTCTTCAGCTCAATGCTAGTGCTCTACCACTTGAGCCACAGCACCACTTCTGTTTTTCTGGTGGTTTATTGGAGATAAGAGTCTCACGGACTTTGCTGCCCAGGCTGGCTTCGAACTATGACCCTCAGATCTCAGTCTCCTGAGTAGCCAGATTATAGGTGTGAGCCACCTGCGTCTGGCAGGGTTTACTTTTTTGCTGCTGCTACTGTTGTTCTTTTGTCTTTGTGTTTTTATGAGCCATGGGCTATGTTGTCCAGGCTGGCCCTGGACTCCTGGATTTGGGCATCGGGCACCGAACACAACTCCTGCCTTGACAGGAGGCTTTGGTTCCATGAATTTATTCTTGGATAAGAGGGTATTTAAAATGAAGAGGAACAACTTTAAATTGTATATCCTTAAAACAAGTTTAAAGACAGAAAGGGTAAACTAACGTGGGCCTTTTCTGTACTAGGGAGTGATGGCTTCCCCTAGTAGGCACCCAAAAGATGGCATAAGTGTGGCTGCTAAGCTTCATTCCAACATGTCCGTTGACATACAGTGGCTCATGATCAATGGCCCTTGATCAGTGGCCCTTCCATCACTCTCTCCCCTCCGGCTTCAGCTTGCTGACGCTCTATTTGATGCCAAGCAAATGTCCCAGCTGTCATGAACATCACTTTGGGTCTTCTTTGACCTTGTTGTCTGAATCAGAGAGTTTAAGAGGCACGCGTGGAAAGTTACACTACTCTGTTCTGTCTCCCGCAGGCTTCACGAACTTCATGCGCAGCCCTGCGTGTGACATCTTTAACCCCGTGCACCAGGAGGTGTGCCAGGACATGGACCAGCCGCTCTGCAACTACTACATTGCGTCCTCGCACAATACCTACCTGACTGGGGACCAGCTCCTCTCGCAGTCCCGAGTGGACATGTATGCCCGCGTGCTCCAGGAGGGCTGCCGCTGCCTGGAAGGTGCGTGGGCTCCCCCCCCCCCGCCCACTAACGGGGCTCACATTTGCGTTGGTATCGGTGGGATGCCGAGATGCCCGTAGGGAGCTGGTGTTAATGTGTAACCACTGTGCCGTTCACGACGAGGGAAGGAATCTGGTGGAAACCTAACGGGTTTAAGTGGACAGTCAGGGAGAGCCTCATTAGTGACATGAGGAGCATCAGCTGAAGGAGCCGTGAGCTCAAAGACGTCCACTAAGAAATATCACACCTGTGGGCAAGTTTGGTTAGACTTAGATCAACTTCCAATAGAATTTCTGGTAAATTCCAGGCTACTTCTGAGCATAGACCTCTGTAAAACTATACGCATTTCAAAAACAAAGCATTTTTTAAAAATCTTCATAAACTACAACATTTAAAGAAGTTATTATCTCCAATTGTTTCTATTAAGTATGCCAGAAGACCTTTGTCTCCATCTGGCAGCTTCAGCAGAGTTTTAGTAGGTATAATCTCCCGTGGCAAATTTAGACCAAAAGAGTGCCTGCTGTGTCCAGCCTGCTGTGCTGATAGACACAGCCCTGCAGGCTGTTGATGTGGAGATCTGATTTTTGGCAGTTGACTGCTGGGATGGGCCAGATGGAGAGCCGGTGGTTCACCACGGCTACACGCTCACATCCAAGATTCTCTTCAGAGACGTGGTGGAGACCATCAACAAGCACGCCTTTGTGAAGAATGAGTGAGTACCTCCGGAGCTCTGCCTGGCCTCGAGGCGGAGCCATCCCCGCATTCCTGTTCTCCATTCCTGCCATTCCTGCCTCTCCATCCTCCGCTGCCTAGCCAGCAAGGCCTGCGAGCGAATGCCCTGGGTCCCTGCTCCTCTCTCTCATCCTCTGCTCCCTCCTCTCCTGTCCCCTCTCAGCCTGCCTCCTAGACCTTAAACAGGATGACCTCGAAATCTCTAGCTCCAGGGCACAGAACAGGACACACAGGTTGCAATGTGCACATTACCAGGCAGTATGAAAACCCAATGGCATCCACTGTTCTGGCTGCCCTGTGCTGTAGCAGCCGACATCCTAGGATCACCTGATCATTTTCATTGGCATTGGAAAAGCTTAACTATTTGCTCCCCAACACCTGCATTTTGGGGCTCCATTATTACATTCTCTTCTCCTTGGCTGCCATTGCTTCTTTCTTTCTGTTTTCCCTGAGAGTTTCCAGTCCATCTCTCTCACTTCCTTAATTGTAACTGTTTCATAATCGATTGCATTTTTGGTCCACTCTTTGGATACTTCACTAATTACACCCCCAGAACTCTTCCTCTAAGTTCAAGATCTCTGTAGAAACATCCTCCTCAGTGTTCTCATGCCGGTTTTGGCTCGGCGTGGCCAGCCCCGCCCTGGCCCTCACAGCCTCGCATCCAGGGGGAGCCCGTGGCCTCCTTCTGCCAACCCTCCTCTTGCTTCTTGCTCTTTCCTCTTAGCTGGGGCAGCCTTGTCTGTCTACCAGCAGCCTCTGCCACAGGTGAGTCTTTCTAGCTTTTCCCCCATTCCCCTCTGTTCTCCCTCCTGGGGTCTCTCTGGCATCCATGACTTCTCTCATCCTTATGGACCTTTTGGTTGGTGCCATGCTTTCTTTCTGAAATCCATGCCGTGTTGTCAGTCTTGTCTTGGTGTCTTCCGAGGCTCCCTGTTCCACACAAGCGAATCCTTGTGTCCTTGCAGGCGTCCCACTCTTCCCTGCCCTTTTCTCCAATGCTCCACAGAGACATCGTATTCAGTGACCAGCAGACTGTCCTGGCCAATGCTGTTCTCCACCTGGGGCGCCCCTCCCCCGCCCCGCCCACCTGTCCTACAGGGAGAGCGGATTCAAACCTCCCTTCTCTCTGAATTTAGCATCCTGAATATCTAATCCTTTGACTGTGTGTGTGTGTGTGTGTATGTGTGTGTGTGTGTGTGTGTGTGTGTATGCATCAGTACTGGAGTTTGAACTCAGGGTCTCAAAGGTCCTACGTGTTTGGTGCCTTATCACTTGAGCTACTCTATCAGTCCTTTGTGTGTTGGTTATTTTTTGAGATTGGGTCTCACTTGAGATTGGGTCACTTGAGATCTTTGAGATTGGGTCTCTGCTTGGCTTTCGCATCCTCTAAACCACGATCCTCCAGACTCTGCCTCCTGAGCTAGGATTAGAGGCCTCCAAACCTGCCTAAGCATCTGGAATATAACTCTGTCCTGTCCTGTGGTGCCTTGTTACCACTGTTGACAACTGGACTTGTTTTAACTCTACAGGACAGACTGGTGCTGGTAGCTTACACCTGTAATCCTAGCTAGTTATGAGGCTGAGATCTGAGGATCATAGTTCAAAGCCAGCCCAGGCAGAAAAGTCCAAGAGCCTTGAGCAAAAGAAACTCAGGGACAGCGCCTAAGCCCTGAATTCAAGCCCCAGGACTGGCCCCCCCGACACAAAAAATAAATAAAGCTACAGAATAACTCACCAAAAATACAAGACTATGCCTTAGACATTTGTAATTCATTCTTTGTGACCTAGCGGGTCCCTGCCGCCTATCCGGCATGCAAGAAAGAATTTTGAATTAAAGAAGCAAATTAAAAATTACAGTTGCAGAAAATTAATATTCTAGATGTTAGTAGCCTTTCATATTTTTTAATATGTGGCCTTATTAATTAAGCATGCGGAAAAACTGCTGCTGTACAAAGAGACCCTTGGTGCAGAACAGGTTAGCGTGTGGCGTTTTTGAGTGCCTGGCTTCGGGTTGCTTTTCACAACCCTGATTCTGACGCCTCGGGGCGGAGTTGGTGGTGATCTTCCTCCACGCCCAGTGTGTGTGAGGTGGTGTGTGGACTCCACTGCCTCTCTGCGCTCCAAGGACCTCCCGACTTAACTCTTCATCTCCTGTGTGGAGGCGTCTACAGGAACACCATGCCTGTTTACTACATTTTCCACGGGTGCCCTTTGGAGGCAGCTGGTGCTAGGCTTTGAACTCAGGGTGTTGAGCTTGAGCAGGCACGTTACCACTTCACCATGCATCGAGCATCTGGCTTTCAGCTTACTTCTTCCCTTCTAGAGCTCGGGTCCTGCTCCTTGCCCCAGCTGACCTGGGGTTGCGGTTCTTCTCCCTGGGGCTCCTGGGCAGCTGGGCAAACAGTCATGTGCTCCCTGCTGAGATGATAGCTTGTTCCAGCTGTCATTGAACTTTGATCCTCCTAACCTTCTGCAGCTGGGATTACACGTGTGAGCTATCATGCCTGTTGGCATGCTGGCTTTTCTTCCCAGCACTCTAGGGTCCCAAGGCAGGTTGGTCAGGACCCAGCTGGCTTCATTGTCCAGGTTCACCTCGCTCTCTGTCACCTGCAGTACCAGGTTTTGCTGACAGGGACAGAAAGTCATTTCAGGAGCTCAGTGGCTATCATTGGGAGTTTGTGCCTCTCTGAAAGGTCCGGAGAAACAGTTTTTACGCAGTTTAAATGTTGGTTATATATTCTTGAAAAAGAATGCCTTGTATTTGATGGAAAATGGGAGAAACTATGAATAAATCTGAGTTTGAAGTAATTTCTCATTCTGAAGAAAAAAGTTGAGGAGCAAGCCTGACTTTCTCAGCTCCTCACCCTCTGGGGCTGTGGACCGATCTGGCTCTCAGTGAGTTGCTGGGCAGTCAGTTACCTTACAGGGACCTGCAGCTTCTGCACAGACTCCTGCATGCTGGCGAAGCATGAACGCTTGGCTTCTTTTATTGTAAAACTAAAGACGAGTGTATAACCCTGCCTGAAATCATTTTGAGATGTCCAACACGTGATGCCACAACATACAAAGTCCATTGTGTTATTTTATCCTCAGTAGCAATTTCCAAGTTGAGGATGTATATCTTGATCTATACCTATATCTGTATATCACTATCTGTATCCACATATCTATATCTGTATCTGTAGCAATATTCATCTATATCTCTATATCTCTATCTATGTATCATCTCTAGATACCTATCTCTATATCCATATCAATATATCTATATCTGTCTGTATCAATGTCTATTTGTCTATCTATCTCTATATCCAGATCAATATATCTGTCTATATCTGTATCAGTATAGCTTGATCTCTATCTCTACGTATCTGCATGTATCTCTATCTTTATATATGTTTTCATGTGTTTGTACACACACTTTTAGAGTGTGTTTCATGATATGCAGTGGCCCCAGAAATACCTGGACTTTTGAACACACAAGAGGAAAATACATTTCATAATTTTCCTCCCCCGTTAACCGTTCATTCCTTTAATTCTTTTTAACACATACATAATGTGCTCCCTCTCCTCACCTTTATGCCAGATGCCAACTCTTGGCCTTCATCATTTCACACGGTGAGCACAGTTCAGTCATTCCACCTAGCAGAGTTCACTGGCTTAGCGGTGTATTTCTAATGTACCTCTTGTCCTCTAATCTTGCTTGTAGAATCAGTGTGTCCCCCGCACGGCCGCAGCTCCTGTCGTGAGATTGCAGGGCTGCAGTGGGCGCTGACTTGGGGGTCCGGGCCTCTGGTGCTGCCCCTGGCTCACGCCGCCACCCTCCCACTCTTACATAGGTTCCCCGTGATCCTGTCCATTGAGAACCACTGCAGCATCCAGCAGCAACGGAAGATCGCCCAGTACCTGAAGGGGATATTCGGGGACAAGCTGGACCTGTCAAGTGTGGATGCCGGGGATGGCAGGCAGCTCCCAAGCCCTCAGAGCTTGAAAGGCAAAGTTCTGGTGAAGGTAATGGCCCAGGCGGCGCGGCGCGGGCATCCAGGCCAGCTGGGCCTCTCCCCTCTCCCTCCCCCATCCCCACTCAGGTGGCTCGGGCATGAAGCCAGCTGGGCCTCCACCCTGGGAGAACCCTGCACAGTCTCAAGAGCAGTGGTTGGCCTGCAGGCACACAGGTTTTCTAGACCTGTATGTGCATCAGGAGAGGCAGTTCTGATGCAGGGCATCAGTTCTGGGGCTGCGTCACTGTGGTGTTGCTACGTATTCTGAGCGTTGCTTTACGATGTGAAGGGACAGGTGTAACACTTGAGTCTGTGCTGTCAGTGTGGACGGCAGCATCCGGGGCAGGAGCCAGGCAGCTCCCCACATCCCCAGCCAAGGCCTTTTGTTCACATCTCTTCCTCCCATTTCAAGCTCCAATAACCGTCTGTCAAAAAAAGATATAGTGTCACGGTTGATCAGCCCCTGCGTGTATCCGTGAGAAGCGCTGTTCCAGCGCGTGGTGGGCGAGAGGCAGGTGAGGGATGGCATCACAGAGGCTGTCTTTCCAGGGACAGCGGACACTGTAGGTGCAGACGCAGTCATGAAGACAGCCCCTTGGGCTTTCTGACTGCCGACTCTATGATTTTTCTTAGTTTTGGTGAATTGTATGTGTGGACCCAAACCAGTTTTTGATGGCTGCATTCTTTTGAGGTGAAAGACAAAGGAAAGCTAGGTGCCAGTGATTCACCTCTGTAATCTGAACTACTCAGGAGGCAGATCCCAGGATAGAGATTCTAAGCCAGCCCCTGCTGCTTATCTTCAGTTAATCACCAAAAACTCAGAATTGGTGCTGTGGTTCAGGTGGTAGAGCACTAATTGAGCAAAATAGTTAAGGGACAACTCATAGACCCTGAGTTTGGGTCCTACTACTGGCACCAAAAACCCAAAACAATAACAATGAAGAATAGTTGGCTGGGTTGTATTTTACCAAATGTACAGGAGAATGAGAACTTGTAAGAAACAAGCGATTCCATGCCAGGACTAAAATGAGAAAGGAGAGGTGGGCACACTGCTCAGGAGTATTCATCTTTAGAACCTACCAGAACTTGGTTTTCTGTCAATAAATAAAAACGACAGATTCCGAAACTGCGAAGAAGTGTCCTGGATAAAAGTTGTAGATAATGCAACAACTAACGCTCACCAGCAACACGAAAAGCTTGTCCAGTCTTGTGGAAGCTGACCCCTGTGTTCAGAACCATTTTCAGGGTTAGATGGTAGACAGGTTAGACAGGTTCCCCATCCTGTAATCATTTTGTGGGCAGGGGGCATAAGAAGGTATGTCCCCACCCACAGGAAGTCAATGAGGGCAGTAAACCTAAGCGAGAAGGAATGAAGGGACAAGAGACACAAAGAATGACAGCAAGACAGGGATTCTGATCAAGCTGCCAATTTTTATTTTTCACACAAGGCTATTCATATGCTTGGAATAAGGAAGCTTTTACATTGGCCGAAGCAGCTGTAGGGTGCTTGCTTAGGGCAAGGTGAAAAGGTGGTCGTTAGTAGCTGCAGGGTGTTTGCTTAGGGCAGGGTGAAAAGGTCGAATTCTGTAAACTCAGCCTCAAGATGTTCCAGTGAGACTCCCTTTTGGCTCCCAACATCGTCCTCCAGGGCCCGGGTGCAGCCTGCATTGCTGAGGACCAGGTGCAGACCCCTTTAGTCACAGCCATGGTGTCAGGACCTGTGCACACCAGTCTGTGCACACACAGTCTGAAGTCAGAGGCCATCACTGGGCTCTGGGATCTGACGGCTGAGAAGTTGTATTTTCTGTGTCTGCACACTGGTCCATCTTGGGCTTTGCCACTGGACCCAAGACAATGCTGACTCAGAAGAAATGGTTGGTGACATGGTAAGAAGAGCTGGAGGCATGGCTCAAGCAGTAGAACACCTTCCTGGTGAGGCATGGCACAAACCCGCTGCCATGGCCTAGACATGTGTGCTTGCTGTTGTTCTAACGTAGGTGCCGGGGGCCCCATCTAGACCCAGAGGCCAGCTGGCCCCTGGCCCCTCGGCGTCAGAAGTCCTGAGTCCCCATGCAGCCTTTCTGCCAGCACTTCCTGACCGCCATTCTGTGGGCCACGAGGTTCAGAGCCTTGGGCTCTGTGGCCAGGTGTGCGGATGCTCGCGCGGCGTCTTCACTGGGTTCGTCCTGGTTTGGATTGCATTCAACACTTAGGGCAGTGTCATAAACGTTCCCCCAGTGAGCAGTCTTGAACAACAAACACCTCATTCCACTGTCCCATTTCCCTGTAGGAACCTGGGTGTGGTTTAGCTAGATCCTCTGTTCAAGGCCTCTGGAGAGAGAGAAAGAGAGAGGGAAGAAGAGGAGAGGGAGGGAGGGAGGGCACTTACCCATCAGCCTTGGCCACTCAGCTTCAGCACCTCCATGCCTGCCTACCGAGTTTCTTAGCATTTCCTTCTGCTCCAGAAGCAGCCAGCCATTTGGGCAGCAGCCCCAGTGACCCAGAGCCTCTGGTCTAGTCCCTGCGGCCCCACCCTCCCTCTACTGCATTCTAAAATTGCGGTCCTTTTTCTGAATGTAAATTGAGGAACATAGAAAGGGAGAAAACACTGCTCACGATACTCTGATTTAGAGATAATTACACTTTGAACAATGAAATCATATTTCTTTCCAGTCTTTCCCCTGTGGTTTTATAGTTCACCAAGATCGTAAGAACATTATTGTACAGTCAGCTCTCCTATATTGGCAGATTTAACCACCCACATATCAAAAATACTTGTTTTTTGTGGTCAAGGCTTTGTGCTTGCTAGACAGTCATTTCACCTTAACTTGTGCCAGGCCTCTGGCTCCTTTTGCTCAATTTCTTTTGAGATAGTAGCTCACTTTTTCCCTGTTTGGGCCGGTCTGGATCACAGTTCTCCTATTTGTGCATACTATACAGCTGAGATGACGGCCATGTGCCACTGTGCCAGCTGGCTGCTGGCTGAGATGGGGGTCTCTTGTGGATTGGCTGCTGGCTGAGATGGGGCTATCTCGCGAACTTGCTGACCAGCCCCGACTGTGGTTCTCCTGAGCTCTGCCTTCTGGTGGTTGGCATGTGCAGACTCTCCTCCTCTCATTAGGAATAGCGTGTGAAGTATTCAAGAGCATCTGGAGACAATTTAAGCAGGGGGATGTGTAGGTGGTGTGAGAATAACACACCATTTTCTGTAAAAGACTTGTACAGTGTTTTTAGATGTTGGTACCTGAGATAGTTTCTGGAAGCATTTTCCATGGTTACTGATGGATGGGTGTAATGCTATCCATCTCTCAGGTGTCTTAAATCTTACTGTAGGAATTTTCCTTTGCTTAAGCCCCTGCCCTGATTTCTGACATGTATTGTGGTGAGGTGTCAGAAGTAGTTTGGGACTGCAGGCTATGCAGGAGAAACTTGGCTTGTTGAGTGTGAAGGGTGAAGGTGTGCAGATGTGAAGCTGCACAAGTGTAGGTGTGTGGGTATGCAAGTTTGCAGGCATTCAGATGTGGGTGTGCAGGCATTCAGGTATGGGTGTGCAGGTATTCAGGCATGCAGGTGTGGCTGTGCAGGTGTGCAGGAATGCAAGTGTGGCTGTGCAGGTATGCAGGTGTGGGTGTGGAGGTGCAGGCATGCAGTTGTGTGGGTGTAGGTCTGCAGGTATGCAGGCATGCAGTGTGAGTATGCAGGCATGCAGGCATGCAGGTGTGGGTGTGCATGTGTGCATGTGTGCAGATGTAGGTGTGAAGGCATGCAGGTATGCAGGTATAGGTGTGCAGGTATGTAGGTGTGCAGGTGTAGGTGTACAGGTGTAGGTGTACAGGTATAGGTGTGCAGACATGCAGGTGTGTGTATAGGTGTGCTGACATGCAGGTGTGGCTGTGCAGGCATGTAGGTATGCAGGTATAGGTGTGCAGGCATGCAGGTGTGTGTGCAGGTATGCAGGTATGCAGATGTGGGTGTGGAGGTGCAGACATGCAGGTATGTGGGTGTAGGTGTGCAGGTGTGGTACAGGTGTGCAGGCATGAAGGTGTGGCTGTGCAGGCATGCAGTTGTGGCTGTGTAGGTATTCAAGTGTGGGTATGCAAGTATGTAGGCATGCAGGTGTGGGTGTGCAGGTGTGCAGGCATGCAGGTGTGGGTGTGCAGGTGTGCAGGCATGCAGGTGTGGGTGTACAGGTGTTCAGGCATGCAGATGTGGGCGTGCAAGGTATGCAGGCATGCCGGTGTGTGGGTGTAGGTGTGCAGGTTTGCAGGTGTGGGTGTGGAGGTCCAGGCATGCAGGTGTGCGGGTATAGATATGCAGGTATGCAGGTGTGGAGGTCCAGGCATGCAGGTGTGCCAATGCACATGTGTAGGTGCGGGCATGCAGGTGCAGGTGCCTTGACCGGCTTAGAACCAGCAGCTGGTGGTGGGCCTTGTCTTGATGGCTGGAGTCTTGACCTGTTGGGCTGCTGTAACAAAATGCCAGACAGAGGGAATTGTCCCTGCACCAGAAGTGGCTCTGGTGGCTCCGGTGTCTGTGGGGCCAGGGCGGAGCATGGGACGGGGGAGTGACTCAACCACAGCCAGTGGCCCGACCTCAAAACACCATCACCCCAGTACCACAGGATTGGGTTCCACCAAGGACCCTGGGCAACCTTACACCTCCAGTGGGTGTAGACGATGGAGTGCGGTCACGTGTACGCTTACTCACATAATGAAAGACAGTTGTCTGAATTTTCATAAAATAAGTGTCCTTCATTAATTACACTTAGTGGAATGTAGTAAGACTGCCTTTCCTTAAAAGTCCTTTCTCTTATTTTTTTATTTATTTATTTATTTTTATTTTTAAACTCAGGGCCTGGGTGCTGTCCCTGAACTCTTTAGCTCAAGGCTAGCATTATATCACTTGAGCCATAGAGCCACTTCTGGTTTTCTAGTAGTTTATTGGAGATAAGAGTCTCACGGACTTTCCTGCCCAGGCTGACTTTGAACCAAGATCTTCAGATCTCAGCCTCCTGAGTAGCTAGGATTACAGGTGTGAGCCACCAGCACCCGGCCTTTCTCTGTTTTAATTACTCCTAATTTAAGCTGTGTGCTTTCTAGTCAGGCTGAAGTAATGATTAACCACATTGGACCTCAAGTTTTCACTTTTAAAAATTGTGGTCAATTATATATAACAAAATCTACCTAATGCCCTAATTGTTTTCAAGTGCTTTAGTCCTATTTAAAAGCATTCCCACTGCAGGGTGTGCCCAGTGGCTCAGTCCTGTAATCCATGCTACTCAGGAGGTTGAGATCTGAGGATTGCTGTTTGAAACCAGCCTGGACAGAACAATCTGAGAGCCTCTTATCTCCAGTTTACCAGCAAAAAGCTGGAAGTGGAGGTGTGGCTCAAGTGGAAGAAGGCCAGTCTTAAGTGAAAAAGCCAATAAGCAAGAGGGTAAGGCCCTGAGCTCCAGCCCTGGAACTGGTGCCCTCACCAAAAAATAAGCAAAAATAAAAATAAAATCCTGTGTGGCTCACCTCCATTTTATTTTCTCCTCTGTGAACTCAGCTGTTCCAGGTCCCCTGTGTGCATGGAATCATGGATTCTGTCTTTTGTTTCTGGCTATGCCATCTGTCTTAGTGTCTGCAAGGCTCGTCTGTCCGTGCTTTAATGTGTACCAGAATTTTATTCTTCTTTTTATTTTTTTTGGGGGGGGGTCCGGTCGTGGGGCCTGAACTCTGGGCCTGGGCGCTGTCCCTCAGCTCTTCAGCTCAAGGCTAGCGCTCTACCATTTGAGCCACAGCGCCACTTCCAGCTTTTTTCTTTTTGTTTATGTGGTGCTGAGGAATCGAACCCAGGGCCTCATGCATGCAAGGCAAGCGCTTTACCACTGAGCCACCAAAATGAGTGCTCCCTCACATCTGTTCACCTGTCCTTGGGTGTGCTGCTTCTTGTCTCTGGCTCTTGTGAGTTTTCAGTTTAAATGCATTGTTTTGATTCCTTTCAGGGCAAGAAGTTGCCTTACCACCTTGGGGACGACGCAGAGGAAGGAGAGGTGTCGGATGAGGACAGCGCCGATGAGATTGAAGATGAGTGCAAGTTTAAGCTGCACTGCGTGAGTCACACAGGCGGGGGCTGGGGGGGCAGGGGCGGGGCCCCTCTAGGCACCTGGCAATCAGCACAGGTTCCAGGCCGTGCCGGCCTCCTCCTCCCTTGCAGGAGGCTCTGGGCTATAAGGAAATTTAAAGGAAATCGCTGCGCACCTGCACACAGCTGCTCATTTACTCCGTCTGTGAGTCCAGGTTTCGTGTGCCTTAGAACTGGAAGGAAGGTTCTCGATGCCCCATCTGACCCCGTCCCCACAGACAAGTCCCCTCCTATCTTGACTCAGCTAAACTTCAAACTGTGGTCGCAAAAATCAGTGTCTTTCAACGCTAGCCTGGTCTTAACTCCTGCCTCACGCTCGTGTCCAACCATACTCCACGACCGGGCCGGTCAGAGCTCCCGTGGTCCTGCCCGCTCCCGGGTGGCCCCAGTGCCTGTCAAGGCACAAGTGTCCACATGGTGATTCATTTGTGATGTTGTCAGCAACACAGCATAGAATGGTTATTTCCCTTCGTCGGCTTCCTGGCTGGAGACCCGCCCTGCAGAAAAGCACCCTTTCCCCACGTCCCCTGGGGCCTCCACAAACCTGGGGGAGCGCAGGCTTGGGGACAAGGGTGAGCCCCAGCTCACCCTGGCTCCAGTGAGGCCAGAGGCTCAGGACGCCTCAAGGGATGTGCCGGAGGCCTGGGACTCCATTGCTGCCGCGGCCTGGTGGGTGGAATTCTTTTGGACATCAGGGCTGTTATTCTGCCCTCTAAAACCAGATCCATTTTGTATAAATTCCCCTGATTGATATCACTGCCCTGAGCTCAGCGGTCGTTGAACTCAGCGGTGTATTATTAACAATCTTCTCTTCACTAAATTGTGCTGTGATTGCCCGTAAGAGACTGTTTCCGGAAGGAATAAGAGATAAGTGACAGCCAAGTCCGGCCAATGCTTCTGTCCTGGGTTTCATTTATTGTAAAGTAGTGAAATGGAGAAGACTGAGTTGAAGTGAGGTGGGAGGGAAGGGGGAGTGGGCGGGCGCTGCCGTCTGCATTAACCTCTTCACTTTTTTTTTTTTTTGTCGGTTGTGGGGCTTGGGCGCTGTCCCTCAGCTCTTCAGCTCAAGGCGAGCGCTCTACCACTTGAGCCACAGCACCACTTCCAGTTTTCTAATGGTTTATTGGAGATAAACGTCTCACGGAGTTTTCTGCCCAGGCTGGCTTTGAACCACAATCCTCAGCTCTCAGCCTCCTGAGTAACTAGGATTATAAGATTGTAGCCAGCGCCTGGCTAACCTCTTCGATTCTGATAGCTTCTCTTAAGTCAGTTAAATACCCCCAATTGGGTGACAGTTACAGAAAAATTAAATAGGTTTTACATAGCTGAAATGGTTAACATTTCAGTTTCTTTTGTTGGTGGTGGTGGTGGCCATGTGGCCTGGGCACTGTCCCTGAGCTCATTTTGCTCAAGGCTAGTACTCTAACACTGTGAACCACAGTATTACTTCTGTTTTTCTGGTGGTTAATTGAAGATAAGATTCTCACACTTTGAACTGTGAGCTTCAGATCTCAGCCTCCTGAGTAGCTAGGATTACAGGCGGGAGCAACCAGCTCTGAACATACTTCAGTTTCTTATTTACTCTTCTAGATATTTGCTATTTTTGTAACTAGTGACTTGAAGTATTGGATAATTAACCTTTTTATTTTTACTTTTCACTTGTTCATTTTGTTTTTGTTTTGAGACTTTTTCTTTTTAATGTAGCCTGGGTTGGCTTTGAGTTTGCAGTCCTCCTGCCTCAGCCTCCCAAGTATTAGGAGTGCAGGAGTTCACTGCGGTGCCTGGCTAGCTGTATTTTGTAAGCTTGACTTTTCATTACTGCACACCTTGCTTCCCAGCTCTCTTGGCTGCCAGCTCAGAGTGACTTATCATTCAGAGGCGGGAAGCACAGAGATGCCACTATGTTAATGTTTAAGGAATGCTGTTTTAGTGAAAATGAGGGCTAGGCTTTAACCATCATCCCAGTGTGTCCATTTGTTCCTCCAAGTCGAGATCAAGTTCTACTCTGAAGCTCCTCTGGTTTCGAATGTGGTAAACCTTAGACCTTCCTCAGGGGGTTATCTGATTATGAAATTCCTTCGAGAGTCAGCTGTGGTTTTCTGGGAAGGAGCTGGAGTCCTGCCTGCTGGCTGCCTCAGGCAGCACACAAAGCCTCCTGTTGGTTTGTAGGCACCTGTAGCTAAATAGACACTGGCCACAGCCCTAGCAAGGCTACATGAGATTCTCTGTGCATTCAACAATTTTTTACCGAGCACCTGCTATAGGAGATGTGTTGTTAACATTATAGGTTTTAGGAAGAGAGATCTTTGTCAGCAGCATGGACAAAAGCTATGACTTCCATGAAGTGGTCCACTGGTCCATTATGCGGCCAGAAGAAGGTAGATAAGAAATGAGCCAGATTAATACAATATATACTGCATTAGATCATTGTAGGTGGTGAGCTATGTGCCGCTGTTCATGTATGTGTGATTACATTTTGAGTCTGTGTGTACATACATGTGAAGGGTTTATTCGCTTTGGATGGATGCTCCAGGGAAAGTGTCAAGAGCAGATCTGGAAGCAGCCAGTCCGGGAGGCGATTCCTCTCCTCGCTGAGAGGCCGGTTTTGTGGTTGCCAGGCATTCCCCAGCCTGGGAAGCAGAGCGGGAGGCGGGATTCCTTGCAGCCCTCTGTTCCTCCACCGCAGCCTCAGGCTGTGCTAACGCAGTGCAATCCCACTGTGGCTGGAGTTGTTGCAACCTTTAAGCTTTTCCTGCCTTGGATTGTTTTGTGGCTTTAGCCATAATGCAAATCTGGCTCATGCTAGAGCAAGACCAGCATGTTCAGGAACTCAAGAATCCCACAGCTCCCGGGCATAATGGACAACGTCCTTTCACCCACAGTACAGTGACCTGGCAGCTTGGTCCAGGGTGCCAGGGGGCAGCCACTCTCCTATGCGTGGGTCATCAGACGCCAGTGTGCCTCACAGCCTGTCCACCCTATATCCCACCCATATTGCATTTTTCCTCTTCTGATGTTTTTCTGTTTTTTTTTTTTGTCTTGTATTCCCTGAACATATTAGGGACAAACATCAGCCATATCCCCCTCCTCCTATTACATGGAGGTTACCCACAAACACCAGGCCTCAACCTACGCCACATGCACCTGTCACAGTAGTGAGTAAGATGCTTTCACACTGCACTGATACTCTGAAAGCTGGCACCCATCTCTCTTTACACCTGTCTACCGTTCCCTTCCCTTCCCACTCCTTAGCTCCGGGCTCATCTTCCTTTCTAGGCCACTCACTGGATGCTTTGGACCCTTCTAAGGTGATGAATCTTGACACTCAGCCTCAGAGCCCTCATGAGCAGCCGGTGATGCGTGACCTCTCAAGGCAGGGAGGGCTTCTCCCGAACATGCCTGTGTGGGGCGGCAGGTCATGTCCTCGCATGGGAGTGGGGAAGTGGGGAGGTGGACTGGAGGAGTCTGGCTGTTTCTTACCATGATGATTGGTCCTGGATCAGAAGAGAGTGAGCTGAGGGGGCTGAAGTAGCAGGCTGGAGTGAGGGGAGAGGTGCAGGGGTGCAGGGGGAAATGGCTAGCAGCCGCAGCCCACAGGTCAGGGAGATGGGCTGGAGAATGGTGGAGGAGGCGCTGCAGAGGGAGGGAAAGATGCAGCCCCGGCTGCCGGATGGATGCCCCGAGAGGACAAAGGCGCAGGAGCTGCTGAGATTTCCCCACCATTTCCCTTGCTTTGTTTTGAAAGCAAAATGCCTCAGCTTTGACTGCTTCTAAAAGGGGGGGCTTTCCAACCCCCTCCTCAAGGCCGGGGTCTCAGCCCAGAGAGGATGAGGTCATTTGCCCAGGATCTTTGCTCACATATCTGGTGACCTCCGTGTGCAAGGACACACTTGTGTCCTCTAACCTCTGACCCACTTCTCTCCTCCCTGTGCTCTGTCTCAGACTCAGGTGGGGTGGTGCTCTGCTTCTGGAAGGATGCTGGAGACCAAATAAGGGTGTGTGTGTGTGTGTGTGTGTGTGTGTGTGTGTGTGACTGGCAGCGGAGGGAGCGATGGGTGAGAGGTGATGCCTCAGAACAGTGGCGTGTGTCTTCCGACAAAGCCCTCCTGACCTGTCCAATTGCATTCCTGCCCTCCTCTCCCACTGGCCCTGGGCACAAAGGGATAAGAAACGTAAGGCCCCCAGCAGCACCACGCCGCCAGGCCCTGGGGTCAGGCTTGGGCCTCAGCTTGGCTTCAGTACTGCAATTGGATGAACTCCTGGACTGAATGATACTATTGTAATAAACCACAGCCACACATGTATTTGTTCTTCTGGGCTGTACATTTGCCTATGTGTGTGTGTGTGTGTGTGTGTGTGTGTGTGTGTGCGCGCGCGCGCGCGCGCACTTGTGCGCGTGCTGGCACACATGCACATGCGTGAGCGTGCATGCATATGCTGTCAATCGCAGAGAAGAAAAGAGATGAGCAGGCAGGAGCATGGGTCCTCGGGCAGCCCCAGCGCAGCAGGCGTGAAGGGGAGGTAGACAGCTCCTATGCGGTGCTGCTGTCCTCATGTGTGACCGGCGCTGGCCGCCCTCACTTGGCGCAGTCTCATCCTGCCTCTGTGGATGGTGACAGTCTGTTTGCCCAGCTCCTCCCTTTCTGCGAGGCTGTTAGTTAGGGAAGGAAGGAGGCTATTTGTGGCTATTTGGAGCGCTCTGTGTGACCCTAGGCTCTCTTAAATTCATTTCTGGCCATTTGTGAAACCCACTGACTCTTCTCCATGGAGGGCATATGGGATGTGTTGTGGGCTTCACGGTAGGAATAATGCTTGTTGGACATGGAGTCTGCTCAGGCTCTATTTCCCCCAAGAGTTCCTCTCTTTCTACAGTGAGAGAAGGCAGATGGCTGCAGGGTTGTACCAGAAAGGAAGTGCCCCGTGCTGTTCCCAGTCCAGCAGTTGCCAGGTGTGTGTGTATGTGCATGA